TTTTTTTCCTATAGAATAATTCAGTTACCAACCTACCTTTTCCGGGAATTCTCATTGAGGTAGAAAATCGGAACCTCTGACGATTAGGAAGTAAAGAACAAAAACTAAGAAGACATCAGTAACAGCGTAATCAACCTTAGGGTGATTATCAGGTTTGCGATTTGGAATAATCAGTCATATGAATCAAGCCTTAATTTTTTTAAAGACTAGTTTTCTAGTGAGAGATCCGGTGTCGAAAGGGGACGAATTACAGTGTTGTTGTTGCTTAAGGCCGCGGGTACACAACCGTTAGTAATTGGCAAAGTTTAAATGTGGCGAGACGACGGTAGAATATCACTCAAGGGTGAAAACCTGTGCAGTAATGCGTGCATCCCGTCCAAAGGGAGGCTGTCCAACGGTGATTTTCACATCACACACCTTTATCCTCGACGAGAAGACATCAGAGATGAGCATGCTCGGGGCGGCAAAGATATTTACCGCCAAGGATAAGGGGCAACGGATCACGGTCGGAGTGCGCCGAGATGGTCATTGCAGCCATCACTCCTCCGGGTAGTAGAACATACTTCACGGATGGATCAGTCGATCCCTTGAGCCACACTGCAGGCGCGAGATCCTCCCCTTAGGCCAGCTGGAACTCAGACGCCACAGGCTATGAACCTCTGGCACTCTCTGAAGTAATCAGCAGAGGTACCGAAGTCATTCTTCACAGAATCAAACTAGGTTACCACTGTGCATGGCAGATTATAGAGATAATAGACCGTGAAGAGCGGTATTGCATGCATTACGGCGAGCCGAACGCCACCCTGGTACATTACTTACAGAATTGTGAGCACACACAATTCCTGAGACAGGGACCGCCAACAACATCCGCCATGCTGGTAAAGAAATTATGCGGTATGCTTACATAATGGCGGCAGGAGTTCCTGCTGGTAATCCCACCGCCATGGTAAGCACCGAGTGTCAGAGAACAAAATGAGACAGCCATAAAAAGCTCACACAGGCCGGGCCATATGTGGAATGCCCGGTCGAAGCTAGAACTTCGCAAATCTTAAAGTAAGAAGATCGGAGTGCAGTCCGGAGCTGTACGTTTTTGTATGCATATATTGTGTATAGGTTATTTTGCATCCTTCTCTCTCTTTCTCTCTCTCTCTCTCTCTCTCTCTCTCTATATATATATATATATATACATATATATATATATATATATATATATATATATATATATATATATATATATATATATTAGAATCTATTTAAATGTGTTATACCTACTCATACACACACATATATATGAATATATATATATATATATATAAATATATATATATATATAAATATATATATATATACATGATATATATTCTATTATATAGACAAACGTATATATAGCTACAAACAAAAATAAATAGATATAGATATAGATCTGAATATGAATATACATATCTGTATGTATACTATACACATACACAAACACACACACACGTATGTACAATGTGTGTGTGTAGATGTATGTATATGTATATACATATGTATGTGTTTGTATGTATGTATACATAGAAACATACATTTAAAAAGAATATATATATATACATATAAATATGAATGATGAAAACATTCTACCGTATTGATACTATGGTAGAAAAACCCACAATGTAAAAAAAAACTAGATTTATTGAAAATGAGACGACAATTTCGGAATCCACCGAAACTGTCGTCTCATTTTCAATAAATCTAGTTTTTTTACATTGTGTTTTTTTTTTACCACATATAAATATATACATAAATACTTGAACAATTATATATTTTTTTATTAATATATATGAATATATATTTATATATGAACATAGACACAAACAACAGTAACGTGTACGCAAAAATGAAAATAAAAACAGCCACAATAAGAAACTCGTTAGGAATTCCTCATCAGACGGATAAATAACCAAACTGTACAGTGTTGACAAAATCATATAGAGGTAGAAAAAACAATACTATGAATTCACTGTCCAGCATTCAGCTTAAAGTTAATCAAGTTTCTAATTATAACATAGTTTCTAGAACTTTATTTCAAAATAATTCACCGATTTATGAAATGATTTAGCTTTTTCCAAATAAAATGGGGATGAAGGGGATGAAACCCGCACTCGAGTCTCGGACGTACCTAACATCACGTTTATGCCCATTTATTCTTTATATATATTTGTGTGTGTGTGTGTGTGTGTAGATTTCTCTCTTTTTAATCTCTGCCGGTTTTGCCCATGTAAAGGTTGGGGCTGACCTTGCATGGAATAGCGTAAATATTATGAGTGCCGTTGGCCATATTGTATTTCACCAAAGAAATACAGTATGTAACCTACTTGGGTATAGGAACCATATGTTATTTCCAACACCTTTAAATGCATTGAGGGACAGGTTGAGCGGAAATATTAATAAATTGCTAGCACTGTCGTGTGTATTACGAAAATAAGTAAAACATTTCCATTTCGCAGAGGAAAGTGCCTGGTTTAAGAAAAAAACAAGGATATCCTAATTTATAAAACGTTTCAGTAATGATGTCTAGCTCCCGCTCGATGAATTCACTGTCACATACCCTTTATGCCCCATGAAACATTGATGGAACTAAAAAAATTCAGGCGCACCGTTTACATGTGTAAAATATATATGCATATATACATAACATTTATATAGAGATAGAGATATAGATATCGATATATGCTAGAGTAAATTCTCGGAATTTGGGTTTTCGAGAACTTAGGAAAATTGTCTTCCTGTGATATTAATTTCCGCGTTTACGACTAAATCTGCCAATGGAGTGATGCTATTATGATACCTATACCTATACATATATGTGTACAGTAGCGGAATTATATTTCCGTCTCACTTCATTAGTTCGATCAGCTGCTGCTAGACGGTGCAGCGTCGAGAAGCACTTGCTAACTTCTCAGGGAATTTGCAGATTTCTATTTGATTTAGCTCCCACGCATAGATGTTTGAAGTATGAGGCGTTTTCCATATTCAAGAAATATGCAAATATCATTTTAATTGTCGTGTTCAAATAAAGTGGGAATGCCGCCTTACCTTTATTTCGATAAACAATTCCAAAAAGTCGCATTTGTAAAACATTCCCTACAAAGACAACGATAATTAATACTGTATGTTTTGCAACCACTTATTTGAAAAAAAACGAAATCTCAAATGCTTATTTCGTTTCTAAAAGTAGATATTAATACACTTACTGGCTATTCAATTCATATTCTACCAAACCCGCTCTTTGTTACAAACAACCTTTGGGTTTCGCCTCATTCATAAAAATACTATTTACACTATGTTTACATCGAAGTGGTTGCCAGATGTACAAAAGTGGGACCCAGTATGTGTACTGAAATACAATTCCGCAACTGTACATTACATATACATGTGCATATATATATGTATATATGTATATGTATATATATATATATATATATATATATATATATATATATATATATATATGACCTCAAATAAGTAACACATACCCATAGGGCAAAGTCAAACCAAATTGTCGCACGACTGCAGCCAGTTTAGGAGGAGGAGGTCTTTTTTGTGAATGTTGCTGCATGCAGATGGCCCACATGTGCTCAACCGGCAAAGAGTTAATCAGTAGCCCTACATACCAATCCTGATTTCGCCAGTACTTGAATTGGCGGGAAAATGTGTTTTTCTTTTTAATATAGTTGACATCGATACTGTTATTATTGTTATTGATATTATGATTATTGAATTGTTATTAAAATTTCGATAACATTTAAGACAATGAAACAATGCAAAAGACACTTTCCAGAAGTCGAGGGAAAGGGTGAATAGGTGACATAGGTAGGAGTTAATAAATGACACCTTGGTGACTAAGCACTTGTAGAGCCATCTATGTGTAAATACAATAAACTTGTATTGCATTGGGCATGGCATGTATTATTGCCATATGTGACGATTGGGTTAAGGACCTTTATTTATATTTGTTGATTTATATGTTAGTGTTTGTTTTGCTTGAGTTTACCCATATTAGTATCATTAATGCTAAAAAAAGATACCTGTGTTTCTTTTGGAATTTCTGCGGAAGAAACGACGAAAATACATATATGAGGGCATGGTACTTATCATTAATATTTACCCAAACTAAAGCACATTCATGTGCATATATTTGCTACGTCATGCGTGTTGTGTTTATTTGTGTATATGTGCATGAGATGTGTTAGCGATAGAGTGAGATAAGTAAATAGATGAACAGAAAGAGGGAGAGAGATCCCCAGTCACGTCGTCCATGCATATAATTTTCTAATTATCTCTGGCCATCTTTTTACAGAGTGTATGAAATCGCCAGTCTTTCTACTCCGAAGCCTGTATTACTCTACGCTGTCTTCAAGATGCATTGGCGGCCAGCGTTCCTTGCAATGTGGGTAGGTCTAGGCATACTACAGTGTTCTACGCAATTGCAAGAAGAGGGTTTAGTTCTAAAAGGAAGACTGTGCTGTGAGGAAAGCAAAATTCTCACTGACAATGGCTGCGTGCCTGGTGCCAACAAAGCCACTTTCTCCCCGCCAATCTCCGCAAATATGTCTCAAATTAAAAAAGTCTCGTGGTCTCTCGAGCCGTTAATATGTTCCAGAGGATACTACGTCAACCACCTTCTTCTGGATGGACGGAACAATACGCTAGATGTAGAGGAGGGAGAGATTTACCTGAGATGGTTGGAGGTCCTAGCCTTCAAAAGCAGCTCTGACTACTGCGTGGGGCCCACTGCGGACGGCGGCTACGCGGCTCGGACTTGCCACCCTAATGTCGACAAGGTGAGCCGTAGGGGTTTGCTGCATATTTTCCCTTTTATCCATATTTTTCTGGAGGCTGTGTAGTTATAAAGTGTGCTTTGCGAGCCCAGAAGTGAACACACACACACACACACACACACACACACACACACACACACACACACACACACACACACACACACACACACACACACATTCACGTAAAAATACAACCAGCACCTCTTATTCACACAGAGAGGCAAAAACCTATCTACTTGTACATGAAATTTCAAGGCGTGTCTGATTCTTACTGTCCGGGGAGGGTAAAATGATACTGCCACTCCAAAGTGTTTCCAACACCCCTTTAACGGTAAAGGATTTATCAGCCATTAGAAGTAGTTTTGCATATTGTAATGGGCGATCTAGCATCCTCTTTGTTTTGTTAATTTGGTCACAAGAGACGAGAGCTGTATGTATTTGTTTGATCTACCGATTTACCAAATGCTTTATGTTGATATGAATTAACCGATACTACAGAGATGTATTAAATCCAAGTAAAACTAAAGCTATCCGATAAGCTAATATCATAAACATAAAATGTATAAATAGATAACCATAGATGGATGGATCTACTTTGTAAAGATATGGTCAACAGTTTATCGCAAAATGATAATTCGCAAAGTAGGAGTCACTGAAGTGCTTGATATAAAAGTAATATGATCGACATTTGACCCGACTATCACGTTCACCAACTCATATATCCCAACTTTACCTGTTCATTATGCTTAACACATGTAAGTATAATTACTTTTGCATTTTTTCCTGAGGAAGTAAAACGAAAAATCCTTCAGCATGACCGTGCTTCGAACCTCTTCCCTTCATTGTTTTATTTGCAATTTCTTCTTTGTCTTTCGGCTTATCCCTGCATCAACTTGCTCCATCTATATCTTGCCTTTACGTCTCTTTCCTGGTGGTGCAATCTGCAACGTAGTTCTCTTCCCTTCTCTTCACGTGCCCAAACCATCTCAATCTCTACTCACTTAGCCTCTCCCCAAGTTTTCTTGTAGATAGCATGTCCTTCACTGTCTCATTCCTTATTCTGGTTTCATCAACATTCGCATCTCTGCCACCTTCATCTTTGCTTCCTGTAACTGTTACTGGTACTGTCTCCATGTCATACAACATTGCTAGTCTTACACACGTCCTATAGATTTACCCCTTCACTCTCATTGACATGTTCCTGTCGCACAAAACTCCCGTCTCTTTTCTCCACCCATTCCACCCTGCCTGCACTCTCCTTTCAACTTCAGCATTGCTAGATCCTTCACAGTCTACTGTTGAACCCAAATACTTAAATTCGTTCACTTTCTTGATATCTTTACCTTGCATCTTAACTCTGCCACCTACTTAATTCTCATTTTCACAGATATTCTGTCTTCCTTTTGCTCACTTTCATGCCACGCCTCTCCAATGCATATTTCCACCTTTCCAGATAATCTACTTCTCTATTTTCGCTACATAACCCAGTATCTGCAAACATCATAGACCACATTGCTCCTTTCCTAAGCCCATCAGTTAACTTATCCATGATACCAGCAAACAAGAACGGGCTCAGGGCTAACCGCTGGTGTAATCCACCTCAAACCCTTCTGTGGTACCCACTGCACTTCTCACTGTTGGCATACACTCATTATACACATCTTGTACCACACGATGACTCCCACATGCAGTGCCACAGTTCTTCTTTTGGCACTCTATCGTATACCTTTTCCAGATCGATGAACACACAATCCAGTTGCCTTTATCCCTCTCTGTACTTTTCCATCAACATTTGCAGTGCAAAGATGGTATCTGTAGTACTTCTCCTTGACATAAAACCAAACTGTTCATCACAGGAACGTTGTCTGGTCCTAAAGCTTTGCCCCTCTGCATCCTCAATGCCTTCTTTACCTCATCCTGTCTTACTCCTGCAACCATTACTTCTGCCATCATCCCATTTTCCTCTTTCATTTCCTTGGGGTTTTCAACATGCATCAGTCCTTCGAAGCAATCTTTCCATCTCTGGAGCACCTTCTCGATGGTCAACACTTTATCCTCAGCGTCCTTTGTCAACCTGATTTGCTGTATAGCCTTTGCTATCCCTCTGCTTTCCCACTCTGTACTCCATGTTATCCCCCTCTTCCGTATCCAGGTTCTCATATATCTCACTTTCTTCTTTCTTTGCTTTCGTTACGGCCACTTTTGCCTTGTTGTTTGCTTCCTTGTACATAAAGCTTGCTCCTCAGATTTTTTTCTTGTGTCACTCTTTCCATACTTCTTTCTCTTATGCAATAGCTTCCTGTACTTCTTCGTTCCACCACCATGTTTCCTTCTCCCCCTTCTTCCCAGTTGTCACACCAAGCAATTCCTTTGTTGTTTCCTGCAATACATTCGATACATCCACCCAGGTGTTGTCTTTCTCCCAGTTTATCTTCTGGTCAACCTCTTGTCTAAATTTTGCACCAAAGTCTTTTTCTCGCAGTGTTCACCATTTGATTCTAGGTTCTGCCTTTACTTCTCTTCTCCTTCAGCTCGTCAGCTTCATTTTCCCAATGACTACATGGTGTTGTTTTGCCACGCTTTCACATGGAATGACCTTGCAATCTCTGCCTTCCTTCAATGCGGCACAGGATGTAATCAATCTGACCTTGTGTGATTCACGCTTACTATAAGAGGTGTTTATCATATCCATGTCTGTGTGATGGGCGAAGTGTACAGTGGCTCGACCCTCATCATTATGTGCACCATACCCATACTTTCCTATCAATCTCTCATCTCCACTGTTTCCCTCACCACCCTATCCATTAAAATCTGCACCAGTTGTGAGTCTTTCTCCCTTTGGAATCAACTCAACAGCTCTTTCTTATCTCTGTCACCTCCGACCTGCGGGGCATAGGCACTCACCACATTTAGCAGAACACCATCTATCTCCAGCTTCAGACCCATTATTCTGTGTTATCCTTCTCACCAACACATCTTTTGTGTGTATTTCTTTCACCACCACATCGACACCATTCCTCGCTCTATTCTAGTATAGCTTGTAACCAGCATCCAGATCCCTCGCCTTACTCCCTTTTCACTTTGCCTCCTGTAAACACAAAACATTTCCACAAACTGCTCTTTCCTGTCATTGTTCCCACATTCAGCGTACCTATCCTCATATCCACCGTTTTCTTCATCCCTCTCTTTCTTCTAATATGGTTTCCACCTCTCCTGTTCTTTCTTGGTTGACCAACAGTTGCATATTTTCCACTGCTACCCCGCTGGCCAACAGAAGCAGTGGTGGCCGTTTTTATCCTTGGCCCCGACCGATCCAGTATGGTATTCTGTTGGTTGTGCATCATTGATTTCGTTTTAGTTTTACCCCGTTTGCCTGCTGTCGCAATCCTCTGCATTTCTTGGGCTTGGAACCGGCACCGACTCGCAGTATCTTTAACTCCGGCTGTTGCATTGATTTATTTACAATTTGTTCAACATAAATCTCTCTCTGTGTCTCTCTTCCTCTCTCTATTAGACACACACAGGCATGGTGCTTTTACGTACACAGTATAGCGGTATAAGAATAAAGATAATACTTTCCCATAGGATTTTTTTTACATAAGAACACCACCATATAGTATATATACAGTTGGCTCTTGCATTTAAAATAAGATAAATTTGGCAAATGCCGGCAAGTTAATTACAACGCCCAGAATTATATCTAGACGGTTAAGAATTCCTTCACAGCGTGAGTGGCCATGTTGAATAATGCTTCAGAGTTAAATGTTGAAGGGACGGTGGAAAACCATCGTGTTTGGGCGCTCTGGTCGGCAGTGGCTGTCGTTCACTTCTCCTTGGTCAGTGAGTATCAGCATTGGATCTACAGACATGTAACAAAAAAACCGTTCTCAGATCTGCACGAGGGAAGCGTGTGTCCAGAAGTGCTGTGGCGACGGAGAGGCTGTGGAGCTGGCATCGAAGAGCTGCATAAAACGGAATAACAGCGGATTTTCTCCCGAATTTCGTACGCTCCATGGAAGTCCAATCCCAAGACCCACGAATATATTGGTGATCGAGAAGATGCCCGTTTGCGGATTCTTGGTTCTCCTCAACCCCCGCACCAAACCGGAACAGGAGTTCTACCTGCTCCCGAGTGGGACTTTGTATGAACCGTACAACAGCGCAGAATTCGTGCCGGGCAGATATTGTCTGGAATACTTCGTGGAACGTAAGTAAAACATTTTGTCCGACACACACCATTTCCGCTTTTATTACTATTTAACGAAGACCCTTATTATATGTAGCTTTGCTCTGAATAACTGTCATTTTGTTATGTTGCCAAGGCTCTCTTCCAAATCCTCTTCCTCTCTCCAGTGTCAGCCGACGTCGCCTTCGTATGTCGGGAACCTCTAAGTAAGGCCTTAGTAGTCAAGAACCAGTTGCAGGCGGCCGGGTTGGTGGTGTCATGTGTGTTCCTGTCGGTGACCATCGTGTGCCACCTCGCCATCAAACAGCTGTGCGACATCCAAGGCCTCTGCCTCCTGTGCCACATGGTGTCGCTGCTGATCTCTGACGCTGTCCTCTTCACGGGGTCTCAGTTCTCCAAAATAATTAGCAAGTCCCACTGCGTCTTTAATGGTGAGTGGCATTAATGGTTTTCACTAAAGAGGGATTTGTTGAAGGGTACACAGATGATCTCAAGGCAGGATTCTTTTTTTCTTTCTTTCCTTTTTACTAGATATTTGGGACACACGCCATTTAACCCCTAGCCCCATAAAAAAAAAAAAAAAAAAAAAAATGGCTGTTGATGACAGAAGACGCAATTACTAATATGCAGGAATATCTTAATGACATGATTGAAGTGTAGATTGTAGGGTGCCTCAGGGAGAGTGGCATTTTCTGCATTTTGTAGGATAATGCATTTGTAGAAATGACTTTATATTTTAGGTATCAGTATACATACATATATATATATATATATATATATATATATATATATATATATATATATATATATATATATACATATATATATATATATGTATATATATTTGTATATATATGTTTATATATATACATACACACCCACACATATATGCGTGTCTGTATGAATATATATGTGTGTGTGTGTTGGTGTTTGTGTGTGTATCTGTTTGCGGGATTGAGAGAAAGAGCAAGAGAGAGAAAGATAGAGATGGCAAGCTGGTGTTATTGATTCTAATGCACTTTTAACCACTAGCATATCCGTGGCTGATTTTCCGTGACGCGTCCATTTATCAACCGTGTTATGCAGCAGGACAAACGCTGGTCTGTCACGTGATCAGATATACAAATTGTAGCCTCGGCGTTATTCGTGTAATGCGGAACACCTTCATTGTCTACTAGAGCTTTCCTTGAGACTTGTTTAAATAACCAAAAAAAAATGTTTCTCTCTAATGCTATAAATGCCATTGCCTCTTTGCACAGGGTAAGGAGGTTTATACTGTGTGTGCTTGTGTATGCGTGTGCGTACGCGCGCGCGCGCGTGTGTATGTGTGTATGAGTGTGTGTGCGCGCGCGTGTGTGTGTGTGTGTGTGCGTGTGTGTGTAAGCGGAACGTACGTGTTCCTTTTTTTTACCCAATTGTCCTCTAGTTCTTCCTAGTAGTGCTGTTCATTATTATTGTTTTTCTTGTAACAGTAATGGGATTGATGATTATAATGATAATCATAATCATCATGGCCATGATTATCTTCCTCTTTCGTGAATATTGTGATAATTATTTCTGATGCTACTGCTATTAAATTTAGGCAATTAGTGTCACAATGATTGATTTATAATCTATGTAATTTCGATAATATACGATTACCGCCATTGTTTTTACATGATAATCATTATCATCATCGTTGTCACCACCACCATCATCATCACCATTACTTTTTATCACCTTATAGTTTTAACTGATATTTTCATGAATTACCGTAATGATTGCTAGTCACTATAATTATAATCATCACCATCATCGTTGTCACCAACATCATCATCGTCATCGTTACTATTACTTTTTATCACCTTACAGTTTTAACCGATTTTATCAATTTCATTATTTTTTTCCAGCTTTTCTCCTACAGTATTCATTTCTCGCGACGTTCTTTTGGCTCAATGTCATGTGCTTTGATGTATGGCGCGTCATTAAGTAAGTAAAAAAATACAAATACATAAATAAAAACTTGCATATAACTATGCATACACACATATATATGTATATTTATGTATGTATGGGTATTTGCATACATGTATATTCATATATGAACGTATGTATGTATGTATAATATGTATATATCATACATATTATATTATATATACATATATCATAATATATGTATATATCATGCATATTATATTATATATACATATATCATAATATATGTATATATCATACATGCATATATACATACATACAGGTACATATATACACATATATTTATAAATGTGTGTGTGTATCATGTGTCTACGCGTGTATGTGTATGTGGATAACCGAATGCGAGTGTTGAAGTGCCATGACATTTTTTGATCATCGATTTTTTTCCCCGTTTCCAATTACAGAGCGACCGTGGAGCTGGTGCCACTGCGGGGTATCTTAGCCAATGACGCCAAGAAGTTCAAGCTGTACTGCGCGTATGCTTGGGGCGTCCCTCTGGCCGTGACGCTGGTGACCATCGTGATGCATTTCCTGCCCGACGAGAAGGTTTCGGACGCGGTCCTTCGGCCGGGCTTTGGCGTGGAGTCTTGCTGGTTCAGTGGTATTTATATTATCTATATCTATCCATATATATATATATATATATATATATATATATATATATATATATATATATGTATATATATATAAAGCACACTGTGCAGTTATATATCTGTGTCTTTATATATATACACATATATATAAAACACACACACACACACATTGTATATTTATATATGTATATATGTGTGGAACTGCTTCTACAGCAATACAGCGAAAAGGCTTTTGACATATTTTTGTGTTTTCTTGTGCTATTTGCTTACGTGTACGTATACACGAATACGTTGATTTACTCATTCGTTTATCACTTACGACAGGCGATTATGAACTTCTGAGTTACTTCTACGGGCTGATCGGTCTGCTGTTTCTCCTGAACCTGATTCTCCTCGGCCACACACTCGCGATGCTGTTCCAGGCCGGCGGCGCCTTCACCCAGTGCTGTTCTCGGAACACCAATTCACTCACAGCCTTCAACCGGAGTCACCTCGATGCGTGAGTCTTGCAACGTAGTCGTCATTAATTTGCAATATGATTACAGTGAATGTTATGTATGCACAGTATAATCACGAAATTTACTCTCGCCTACGAGGTGACAAATTATTAGTGTCCCAGTGGTATTTTTGAAAGCTTATGATAATCGTTTTTTAAGCCTGTATGGCACTGAAAGTAACTAAAACAGAATTTTCCCTTAGCTTTGTGTACCCAACAAGCAAGTGACGAATAACCTTTAAAAATAAATAGGGAAAGAAGTTAATGTTACGTTTTTCTGGCACAGACATTGCGGTAATAAACAACTACAACTTTTTAATATTACGTTATATTATGACAGCTTCTGGCAGCGGTTTAGCCTCTTTTGTTTGATGGCGCTCTGTTGGGTCACGGAAATTCTTTCCTGGAAAATTTATCCTCTGGAAATGTGGTAAGTAAACATTTCGCTTCCAGGCAATGAACGACTAGTTATGAATCCAAAGAATCCTGCGTCACACACCCATATGTGGACGTGTGTGCATATATATGTGTATATGTGTGTGCATACATATATATATATATGAATATATATATATATTATACACATACACACGCTCAAATATCTACACTACACTATATATGTACTGTATATATATCTATATACATATATAAACAATATGTATATGTATGTATACTATATTCTGTACGCGCGCGCGTGTGTGTGTGTTTGTAGACTGGGATGAGTATCTGTGGTCGTCTGTATGTTTATGTATATGCATTATGTATGACAAATCATTTTGACCGCATAGTGAATTCCTAAGTGACTCAGATTCAGTCAAAATCCGAGGCGATTTACCTTTGTCAATCACGCGCTCCTCCGCGCCTTCTCTCTCCTGCCGCAGGATCCCGACAGACGTCATCAACTCCCTGCAAGGCTTCATCGTGTTCGTGATCTTCATGAGGAGCCGGAAGAAGCGCGAGATCGTGAGACAGTCGTGGGAGGGCACCGTGTCCACCGTTTCCCAGGCAGTGAGGAAAATCTACCGCACGGACGAACCCAGCGTCGTGTTATACGGGAGCAACAGCCAGGAGTGCACTAGGAACCCCGACGGCTCGTCCTCGGGCAACAGCAACCTCACCGAGGAAATGACTCTCGGCCCAGGGGTCGCCAACGGGGAGGCTTCACAGGCGGGGGAGACCAACCCAGGCTTCGAGAACGCGGATTAAAGAGAGAGGATGTGAGGATGTTATCAGAATTCATCTTCTGATATGAGTGAATGTGTTGTTGGATACAGAAATTAGGTTACCCGCTAGGTGAAAAAAGTGCAAATAGTTAAAATTATAAAGTCTAGTAATGTTTATATCCTTACTCGCTACAAGTAGAATTAACTTAAAATGCGGCACATATCTTACAAAACATCTTTGGTATATATTAGCAAAGTATGTACGTACACGTGTATATATTATATACACGTTTACACATATACACATATATACATATATGACTTCATATATATATATATATATATATATATATATATATATATATATATACATAAATATATATATATATATATATATATATATATATATATATATATATATATATTTATAAGTATATAAATGTATCTATATAAACGACGATGACGAATGATAACAGTTATAATACTAATGATAATAATGACGATTATAACAATTATATTGATACCAACAGTGATAATACGAATACGAATGATTCATAAAATTACAAAGCATATGATACTAATGATTATTATCTTGATATTGAAATATTAGAAATAACTATAAACAGTCACAGCACAATTAATACTATTAACAAGTGTTATCGCAAATTGGATTTTCAACATTAGAAATTATATTGTTAGCATGGAAAACTAGAAAATAGGTACTTGCTTTCAACAATACGTCAGCTGTTAAGTGAAAATCGTATCTTATTTTATATGATGGACGCCTATGATACTGGTGTCTAGAGAGAGCAAGACTTGACAATTATTTTTAAAATGTCACATTTACATTTTTATGCAGTTGTCCTATGTTGCAAATTAAGTAGGTCAGACTGTTATATGGGTTCTTACAATGACATATTTTTAATCAAAAGTTTTTACGCAATTATTCATTGTTGATTTTAGTGCTCCCTTGTAAACTCAAATAACACAGTGTGCAGAAGACGCCTGTGACGCCTTATTGAATTTGATGTTAACCTTTCATTTGTGCGAGTGTGTGCGTATAAATATATGTATATATACATATACGTATACATATATGCATATATATTACTGAAGTAATAATTATGAAGTAAATTTGCCTTGTAGTATCAATACTTTTCCATTTGTTTCTGTAGGGTTGGGAAAGACATCACGAACCCCCGCTCGCTCGTTCTTGCCTGAGAAGTTTCGAAGCATTTGAATAAATAACTGTAGTTCCATGAAAGTGTACAGCGCTTTTGGCAGACATTGTGATGCACTTTTGATAGATATTATAATGAAATGGGGAAATATGTGACTCAGCTCCATTACTCCATCCCCACATGGGAGTATTCTAAAGCCCAACCTCAGTTATTTTATTAATCCAGTGTATCTAACAGTCAAAAAAGTTGAAGTGCGGAAGTTGCAAATTAGCTTATATATATATATATATATATATATATATATATATATATATATATATATATATATATATATATATATGAATTATATCTGAGAAAGTGAAAATGGTGTAGGGATACTTATACAAAGGGAAAATTAGAAGTACAGTTGATCTTTGATTCTAATTTGATATTTGTGTCTGAGGAACGGTACCTTCTTCTAACAGACATGGTCAGCTGCATTTAAAAAGCACACAAATGTCAAATGGAGGAAATTAATGAGAGGTTTAATGATTGATTATTACCTGTTACAAAATGGCACAAATATATATTTAGAGGTTTGTGTGCACAAACTTCTATTTATTTACACATTCTTTAATCCCAATTACCTTTGCATTTAATTCATCCAAATCGTCATTTAAACCACATACGAGGTTTTCTTTTAGCTGACAGTCAAATCATTATTCCGTGAAATATAGATGTCTATATTTAGCATCAGTGGTGAAAGAAGGATACACACAACTACCCAGTTACCCAGATGTCCTCAACAGCTGCATCAATTTCAGCTGCATTATTTACAACTGTATTTTAAGGTTATGTTAGATTTAAGTACATCTCGTACAAATATGCAGACTCCGTCGCCTTGACCTGAGCCACATCTATAAACACTTGTGCTTTAATAAAACTGTGGGTATACATAAAGACTTGACATTATTACTATACAGGTATTTTATATGTTAGAAATTCATTTGCCAAAAAATACTGGATTCTCTGAGTCATAGAAAAAAAATATTCTTTAAAAAGTGGTTCAACTCTTCTTCTAGTCTTCTAGTTAACCCATATTATGTTGTCCCCACTTGTTTTTTTTGTTTTTTTCTACGTATGGTCAGCCAGTACGGAGTCTATCAGTAGTGACCGATCCTGATTTCTCCATTCGTTGAATTAGCGGGAAAATGCGTTTTTCTTTTTAATATAATCGGACTGATTCCCTCGGGTCATGCTAGGTCGCTTCTCCTCTGGCTTGCTTAGGGCGTGGGATCATATCTATTTGGCATCGACTTTCTCCCTCCGGAGCGTTTCCTGAAGTGATGTCATATCTCGGACGGATTCCACTGTCAAATGGATATCACAGACCTACAGTGATAAAATCGCTGGTATGTACAGTTATGATCGTTAACGAAGAGCGGTGGTATTAATTAACTTACCACGGGAGTTACCATGGTAAAATGTCCAGTGTTCGGAACATGAGAAGTCCACTGATAATTGAAGGAACATGTCATCACGTGTTAGTTTCTCCAAAAATCAATATTTAAGCAATTTTTTGGGTTTGCTTTAATAGCTGTTGTGATTGCAATGATGGCAAGCACATATCAAAACAAGGTTATGGCGTAGAATTGCAGATTTCACATAAATCGAGCAGGGATAATATCTACACAAATTCTCGTAAAATCATAGGTCGACATCGGCCTATATGAGTATATGAAATCGATAGATCAATGAAATTTTAAATCATTCTTCTTTTTTAGGTCACCATTACAAATTCTAAAGAAAAACAAACTTATTGATACATGAACTGGTAATAAAAACGTTAAACGAGTATAGCAGATTCTGAGTCTGCCAATATTGTAGCAAAGGATAAACATCAAACTGCATGGGCAAGAACGAGTTTCCTTTGTCTGACGACAAATCGCGATTAATAAGAACATTTTTGGTTCGTTTCTTGTTTGACTGAAGAGAAATAAGTAAATAAATATAAAATGTGTGCGAATTGATTCTATCGTTGACGGTAACCATGTTCTTAACACAATTCGAGTATGACATTGTTTGTACTGGTTCTTAATGTGACGATAGATTTTCTACTTATGTCTATATGGTTCTTTAGCGGCAACTATAATTAAAAAACGCGCTGTTGCATCGAGTTTTGTCTACATATTACTGATTAGCTGGAACTGCTTCACTAGAACCACCTGTTGGCACATACTGTTATTTCTTAAGTACCACACAAACAGTTGTAATGCACATGAAATACATCGCGCAGTCATTTGTGTGTATTTGTTAATTCGTTTGTTTCTTGTTTTGATGTATGTTGTATGAAGTTTGTGGTGGATTGAAATAATGGCTTTTGTTGACCTGGTGAGTGGATATTTAGGAAAGTGGAAAGGTAGTTTATGGAAAAGTTTGTGGAGGTTTAAGGCAGAGAAGAATTTAGGTAGATGCAGGTTGATAAAGAACAGATTTGTGTGTGAAAGTATGGTAAGTGAGAAGACTTTGGGGGTATTTTCAGCTTGATTCGTGTTTTAGTGTAGATTATACGATAGATTAAGGGTAACTGAGGTTAGTGTGAGGAATTAACAGATATCTAAAGTACAGATGGAGGATAGATAAAAACTGATGGAATTTTCTGCCCTGCCCGATGAGTGTGTGTGTTGTTTTGGAATCCGCGGCTTAAATGGGCCAGGCACGATGTTTACTCTCCGGTCAGGTCCGGAGAGGTAAGCGGTGATTGGTGGTGATGACTGGAGCTTAACTTGCCAAACGGAGTGCGTCAGGTCCTACGATGTCCAGGTACAGGTGTACATGTTCGAAGCAGCCGTCCAGTACCAGGAACACCTGTGGGGGAGCCTTACTGCGTTGACACTCGATGTAGGTGCGGCTCCACTCCCAGACATCTCTATTGATGCCCGGCCACACAACTTTGCGGCGGAGGAGATCCTGGGTCGCGCGAATTCTCCGATGGATATGGTAAGCCTCGAAGAACTTCTCCAGCTGAAGAGAGGTATCTCCATCGATAAGTCTGGGAAGGGAAGGGTCTTGTTGCTGTTCCCTGCGAACTAGATGGTAGTCGATAGGGTTGTTGCTGGCACTTACCATTGCTATCGATACTCTGGATTGGGCATCTGCGGCCTTGTTGTTGATGCCTCGGATGTGTCGTATGTCAGTGGTGAACTGGGCCACGAAATCCAGGTGCCTCTCTTCGCGTGGGGTCTGACGGCGGCTCCTGTTGTGCAGTGCGAAGGTTAGGGGCTTGTGATCCGTCAGGATGTGGAATTCTTCCCCCTCGACATATGTCCTGAAGTGCTTGATGGCGCTGTAGACCGCAAGGAGTTCCTTGCCGAAGGCGCTGTAACGGGTTTGCTGTGGGCTGAGAGTCTGCGAAAAGAAAGCCAGGGGCTGCCAACCATTACCTGGGTCTTGTTGCAGGACGGCTCCCATGGCGGTGTCTGAGGCGTCGACGGCTATGTTGAGCCTCGCCCCTCCCTGCGGGTGGTTGAGGAGCGTCGCCGAGGCTAAGGCATCTTTGCTGGTCTCGAAAGCTTCGGTTGCCTCAGGAGTCCATGTAATGTCTCTGCTGCATGGAAGCTTGCTCGGAGTAACCCCAGGAGGCAGAGGCAAAGGATGGGCACGGCAAAGCGCCATATAAAGGTGTATTGATGTAGTGTAATATAATTGTAGCCACTGACAATATTACTTAGGACCTAACCTATGCATTTTTATGTGTAACCCTGAGTATACAGGATGCTTATGATGAAATAAACACAACAGCCATAACTGGATGTAATGCACTCTAACGTTTCGAACAAGGGTAGATCCCTCATCAGACGGTGAAATGAAAATGGATAGAAAATTTACACAGTTAAGTTATGTTAAGCAAGATTATTTACCACCAACCTGGCTATCTGCTCAGGCGTGGGCAATCATAATTATAGTTTTACATATATCTGACACAGAAGAGTAGTCTGTGACTACTGTAATTGTACATGGTAATATAGAACTATAAATCACGTCATATATAAATAATACGTTGTTATGATTTTGCCGTTGTGTTTACATAACACTATGTTTTTGTTTACGGAAATTTTACCTAGTAAATTTAGGATATAATACGAGTATATCTTCCAATGTATCAGATGAAATGAAATATTCACATAGTTCTTTATACCTCATGTTAGGTGGTCTGGAAGGCTGTATCACATGACATTCCGAGATATAATGCTCAAGCGTTCGCTTGTTTTCTTCGTTATACAATCTACATTTAGATTCATCTGCACTTCTTGCAAAGTGCAGTTGCCAGTACATTCTGTAACGCAAACTCATTCTGGCAATAACCACGTCACATTGTCTGGTTCGACTTCGGTGCCACCCATAGGAGGGTTTGCTATCTCTATATTGATCGTAGTGCCTTATGGTGCAGTTTTCAGGCCTTTGAGTGTTCGTCAGATCTACTAGCTCTTCCTTATGAGAACTTTTCAATAAATGTGCAACGCTAGCAAGAGGCATCCAAAAACATTGTACCGCTTGAAGAGTCTTGAGACTTTATGTTGTATGGAAATGCTTTTTAAATGTTTTATTCTAGAATAAATTAAAATTAACATAGTCCAAGTTTGATTATATTAATGTTTTCATTACTTTAACATATCGTACATCTCTTGTTTAAAGTAACAGAAAAGTTACCTTCATTATAAACCACCCTTCGTCAGAATAATGACAAGCTATTGTTAAAACGAAAACAATAATTACAATAATATTGATGATAATAGTGTAAATGGTGAAAATAATGAGAATGAAGATAATAATGATAACATCAATAGTAATCATATCAATAATAATAATAAGAATGTTAATAACGATAATAACAATGTTAGTAATAATAATTATGATGAAAATGGTCATAAAAATAAGTAGAATAATAATTACAATGAAAATAGTAAAACAGTAACAATAATGATAACAATAATAGTTATAAAGAATAATAATGATAATTAGAAATAATTATCAGTAATAATAATAATTATATTACAGGAAGGATGAAGTTAGACAAAGATGTCTTTATAATTTTAAACATAAGAAGGACGAAATGACACAGCAAAAAAATTGAAAGTAAAAAGAGGCGAGAAAGATATTAAGAAGTTCAGTTTCCCAAGCTAGGTGAGAGCAACTATGGGGCGTTTTCTGTACGCGCCGTAAAATTACTCTAGTATTAAAGTTTAAGCCAGATCTCTAATGCACATGCGCATTGGCAGCGTTCAGGATTAATTTTTAATTACCTCAAGACCAGTCTTTACTTTTGAACCTAGACTTAACCCTGCGCATGATCTGAGAGGACAAGTTGATCCCATCAGTCATGTATTGATACGTCATGACTGCCTCAACTCCATAGGAAGGATGGAGTTGAGTTGCCATTAATATTTATAATAAGCAATAACGAAACAAATTCTGACATTTTCATGTCAAAGGTATAAGTGAAAATCCATTAATGTATATTGTTATAAACTGTGGGATATTCAAGCTGCAGATATAACTCTCAACATTAAAAAGAAAATCCCACAGAGAATTCCCGAGTTTAGAGACAGAGAGGGCAGTATTATTTCCAGGTTGAAAAAAACATTAATATATGTAATATATTAATCGAGTAAAAAAGAAAAAAAAGAGGAAAGAAAGCTTTTAATAACATCACCATTAACTTTAAATTCAAAGTAAAAACTCCTCGCTAGCAACAACCTGACAAAAAACTACCCTCCCAGTGTCCCGCGATCACACACAGAGCTCTCGGAGAAAACTCTCGCGAATATGAATTGATATTACGAGTATCTCATTTTTGTTTGACATCATTTGAATTACAAATGCCCGCTTTTTCAGGTAAAACAGCAAATTTACTGATAATCAGTGTCTTGCATCTTCTGTGCAGGTACCGTTTAACATTAACATTAATCCGGAATTAACTGCACACGCACACGCACACGCACACGCGCGCACACACACACACACACACACACACACACACACACACACACACACACACACACACACACACACACACACACACACACACACACACACACACACACACATCTCCAAGCACGCATATGTGTGTATATATGTACGTGCTTTTGGTCCCAGCACTGAAAAAGTAAATATGTTTATTTATACTCCTTACTATTTTTTATGTTGTTGTAGTTATCATTATTTCATACCAATAATTAATTCTGTAATTACCTGAAACATTACATTACTTACTGTGAAGGGAAACCGGGCCCGCCGAACCAAAACAAACCGAAAGGCGCCAAAACGAGCCGAAGGGAGTGATTTGAAAGCGAAGAGACGAGTGAAAGAAACATCTGTCGGCCTTCCTCTCGTTTTTGTTCACACTTATCGATATGTCTGTGAGGCATATAGATTATCTTAAGGTAACGTCGCACTACGCTGCAGAGAGTTGAACAATTGTTTTCATTATAGTCTAGAGACAAGGTTGGAAAGGTGTGTCCTTGGGCTTGTACCCAGGGTCAGTCCGGTTCGTAGGTAACGGGATATGCTGTTTTACCCCATAATTTCCCTGATATACTTCATGCCCTCCCCTGCTATCGGGAGTATCAAATCAAGATTGTCGATGGAGATGGTGATCATATCTCCTCAATGATTCATTTGCAAAAGGAACAATGCCTGGAATCATTGAAAGCAGTGGATTTCATGCAATAAAATATCAAAATTGTTTCGAAAGTAACCCACCACCCTATTCTACATATTGACCGTGTGTGTGTGTGTGTGTGTGTGTGTGTGTGTGTGTGTGTGTGTGTGTATGTGTGTGTGTGTGTGTGTGTGTGTGTATGTGTGTGTGTGTGTGTGTATATATATGTGTGTGTGTGTATATATATATATGTGTGTGTGTGTGTTTATATATACATATATATAATGTGTGTGTGTATGTATAGGTAGGTAAATATAGATACAGATATGTTATGGTAAACCATAGACCGATTCGGTGTGACGTCACAGCGCCCAGTCTCCGTGATGACGAAACCCGCTTGATGAAAACAAACCTTCGAACGCCATTACCGCAGCTCTCTAATCGGTTCATGGTTATAGTGATTTTCTCTACCTTTTCGAAGAAGAATGTCGTACGAATACTTTGATATGCTAGATAATGAATCAAAGGTCCGTTATTTGAAGAAATTGGAAGCTGTACAGTTGAAAGAGTGTCCATATCGCCAACCTGCTGAAGCTTGGAAAAACGATCCTACCAAGTGGCCTAACATCGAATACCCAGATATTTACGAATATTTGATCATTACACCCGTTAAGTACAAATGTTTGCAATATCTAGAATTAAATATTGTTGATAGAATATGACATCGAGGCTTCAATTCGAATTCAACCGTCTTCTTAAACTTTGTATGGGTAAAGGTCTGATCTCTAGTCTTGTGTTGCATGTTCTTTTGTAGGTGTTTATTCAAGAGAATCGATGAAATCACGTAAAGGTTTGGAGGCATATAACCAATTTATATCCAGATGGGTTGGCAAAGTATTGCTTTACCAAAGAAGCAGTACCAACATTTCAATTCTGCGAGCTTCTGTTATGCACTCCCAGTGTCTCAATGAAGATCCGTTGCAGCCATGGATTGGAGCAAAGAAAGACGGATCAATTATATGCGCACATTGCAACTGCATGGCAGGGTAAATAACTGCTTCTTTTTAAGTATTTTTGTGGAACATATTTGAATTAGATTTTGAAACTTATTGTTAAAAGGTCACTTCCAAACCATGTGTTATTTATTGGTTAAATTAGCTGTCAAATTCTTCAGATACTCTTGGCCACTTTGGTGCACTTGCAGTTTCTTTCACAGCACTCCGTGTCTTTGCACTCTCAAACCTCGATAGCATTCTTTGGGCTTTGGAAGGGTCAAGTGGCTTATGCTTAAAGATGGTTGGGACAAAATCTGGATGAGCTGGATCGGGAGATGGCTTACCTGTCAAAAAATCATAGGATTCAACAGTAAAAACAAGCTACGATCTAGGGCCTAAGCAAGCTTACAAAAGCGATGTAGTTGAAGAAGTCCAGCAAAAGCTTACCCTGTTTTTAAGCTGCAAACTTTAGATATATGGATTAAACTTCTTACCTTCAATGAAATGTTCTGAACAAATGTAAACATATTTTCCGCCAGGTGCCCAAGCACTCCCATCTGCGTTTACACGTTTCATGGCCTGAACCCATTTTAAAAAATTTTCCGACTTCTTTTCGCGATCGGGGAATATGTGAAAAGTTAAACCTTTCTTTCCCATTAGCTGGTGATTCGTACAACCCACTGCAACACAACTTCTCGGCATTTTAAATGAAAAACAAGGCTGTCAACTTCGGTAGGTTTGCCGCAGCGGCGGGTTTGTTTTCATCAAGTGCTCGTTGCTAGGTTCTACCGAATCGGTCTATATAGGGAGCCACACTGATTCAAATTCAAGAATCATACCACAAAAGGTGTCAGTGCTGGTTAATATACAGTTAAGTAAGAAAGAGAAGATAGAAAATCATCAGGTATTTACATAGAAAAACATATTAGCCGATCTTTCAAACATAACAACGCCTACAAAAAGCAGAAAAAAAGCATCTAGAAAACTGAGAAGTTGACGATCAACTTGCATCAAATGTCATTGAATGGAGGGTCATAGAATTTCTAGTAACTCTTGCAGGTTGATAAATACCAGGTTAAAACTTATAGAGGGGGTGTGAATTATCAGTTCCAATCTTGTATATGACAATGCCCAATGTTCACATTTAAGTCAGGAGAAATTTAAAGGAATTAAAAGAACAATCAGGCAGTTGTAGATGTGACTCTTCAGAAGATAACTACACAAGTGAACAATAGATTAGCCACTAAAGTAATTAAGACTCCATTAATCAGCAGACTTGGATGCCGAGGCAACTGCATTCTAGACCAACTCTCAGTCATTTTCTTGGACTTGGTAGGATTTAAATTCCTGCCCTATTGAGAGCACCACAATTGAATTATCATCAGGTCTACAGTGAGACTGTCAGCTACTATTTCCGTGATTACTGGAGAAGGAATATCAGCATGGAGAGCAGCAGCATCAGCATGTGCCAATAATTTATTAGTAATCCCGAACAAGCAAAGGCCAAGAACACTACCCTGAGAAACCCCAGAAGACACACAGGAATATAAGCTAAAACTACCATCAGTCAAAAATTCTGTTAAAATACTTAAAACATTACAACCAACACTAACAGACTGCAACTTAAAAATCAGACCCGTTTGTCAAAAGATGCACAAAAATCCAGAGAGACAAGCCTTGACTCATGACCCAATCTAAAGTAGACTGCATTTTATGCATCGACATAAGTAATGCAGCCAAGTCCCTTTCTAAAACCAAACCCCCCCCAATCCCTTGCCCGTTGTTGTTGTGGGGGGGCTTAGGAGGCGGAGACTGAGACCCAATGATGGGGAACTCCCCAACCTTGGGACTCAGCCCTCGACTCAACTAATTTTGCATGTCTTTTTTCCCTTCCTACTTTTTCGTTTCTGTCCCTTCACCAATCCCTTCTACTATCCACCTCCTAAGGTGTGAGAGCCGTGCTGAAAGGATGAAAGGCTGACTTTGTGCCAGTCCTGAACGGCCTGAGGGAGCCATGGGCACGGTATTCCCTCGCTTAGGCCTAGCCCTTACCCCTCAAGGGGACCCTGAGGAGTGGACTGTTTCTCTCCCCAACATACTCCTGGCTTACCATGGCCAGTAATGAAAACGTAACCCCACTATTAGCGGCAATGAGGCTTGCCCCTTCATCAAATAGCCCCAACAATTCAAATCCTCCCAATTCCCTGACCCCAGGCTCTCCTTTGACCATGGCACCGAACACTGCAACAACAACCCCCTACTCAATGCCTACTAGTACAGTAGTCAACACTCAACCCCCTAGAGACATTCCTACTCTCCCATCATGCTCAACACCTCTACCTCCACAACATTCTACATCAACTACCCCATCTTCCCTTATTAATACCTTACAGCCTTATTACCCACTTCTCCATAACACTACCTCCCTCAACACTACTCCCTCTTCGACACGCCCCCACCCTTCTACTACCCCTACAACAATCCTAAATACCATATTTAGCCCAGCCAAATGGGACCAATTTTTCATGATCCTTCCCACAGCTCCCTACTCTGACAATACCCTTCTCTTCCAGCAATGTCTCCAAAAACAAGTAGGCAAAATCTTTTTCCATAGCCGACCCGACCGCTCCCGTCTGGTCACAGTAACATCTGAAAACCAAGCTATAGCATCAGCAAAACTAACTGATCTATATGGTAACACTATTCTTGCAGAACCCCATCCAACCCTCAATACTTGCACCGGAACTGTTTCTATCTCCCCAGCAAACTGCCCAATCTATGACAAAGATTGGTCAGATTGTGGAGAAGACACTCACCTGTCTCACAGACTATGATGTGACATCAGTACAATACTACTCCATTCCTCCCAGAGGTCATCGTAAGAAATTCACTAACATCGCCAAAATCACTTTCCATAGACATGACCTCACATTTAATGTTTACATAGGTGAAGAATCCTTCCCTGTCCGACCATACCAACCTCCTTGTCAGTGTCAAAATTGTTGGCGTTTAGGACACCCAGCCAAACATTGCCGTTCCACAGCCAGATGCCCACTATGTGCCCAACCTGGCCATACTCAATCAAACTGTTCTGCACAATCACGCACATGTGCCAACTGTGGTGGCCCTCATAATGTATTTTATATAGGCTGCCCCACCTACAAATATGAGTCTGAGGTAGCAACTCTCAGATTCAAACTTGGACTCACACTACGTGAAGCCCGACAGGAAGCATGTCGACGAGGTTTTTCTCTTAACCCCTACTTCAGTAATATTGCTCATTCTACCACTTCCCCTACCTCCCAAGCTCCTACATCCTCTCCTAAACCTACCCACCCGCCATCTAACTCACCCTCTTCTACCTCTTACCTTCCCCAGCCAAACTCTTTTGCCATCCTAAATCCAGACACTGCAATCTCTACTACAGACACTCCAATCTCCACTACAACCCCAACACCTTCCCCTCTGCCTCCCCACACTACCCGCAACAGACAAAACAAACGTTCCACCCCCTCTTCCCCTACCACACAATCACCTCCACCTTCCTTTGCCCCTACTCTTGAGACACCAGTCTTATCTTCCCCCCCTCACAAGAAATCCTTTATCTCACATAACTCCCCAACCAACTCCATTGAAGAAACTCTTGAAAATATTCAAGACTTCTTAATAAAAACTCAACCTTCAAATCCTACAACTCCTGCTCCCTCCACACACCAAATGACTGCCGATATCCATCCTCCTCCTAACGATATCCCCCCTACACCCTATCCTCCTACCCCCTCCCAACACAGCCCATCCCCCCCGACCCCGACTCCGCCCTGCCCACATTAGCCCTCCCACCATCCCCTCTATCCCTTCCACTCCCTCCTGGATACACATGTGAATCCCTTACATCACAAGTATCCCCTTCCACACCCGTCTAACACACTCCTATCTGATGTTACAATCCGATCCACCCCTATGCTCCTTATGTAATTCCTCTTTCAGTCCCACACATTCTATTGTCAAGCCCACGTTTTGAAGCAGCCTGTACCTCTGCTTCCCTCCACCTATCCCTTCACCGACCTCCCAACCTATTCTACTTCGACAACCTGTCTTCCTCTCAAACGCATAAATATCCCTCACTTAATCTAACCCCTTTACATTACCTCACCCGACCTTAACCCATTCACTCACCAACTTTGCCCAGCTTTGACAACTAATCACTAACTTAACCACCCTTTACTAACATTTACTATAGTGTTACATGACCTTAGATGTCTAGCACATTTATTTTGCTTTTAACCATTAACCATTTAACCATTCTTAAACCAAACCGAGTCTCTGGAAGAAATGGTATCAAATATTCCGCAAGACATTTGACTAGCAACTGTTCAAAAACCTTAGATAAAATTGCTGTAATTGAAATGGGCCTATAGTCAGTAGGTGAAGACTGTAGTGAGCCCTTGGGAATTGGGTAACATTACCAAAGTGCCAGCACTTTGGACTAACTGCCCACACCCAACTACATCCGAGAAATCTAAGACAGAAATTCTATGTTAGTCAGTTGGGGGACACAGAATTCAGCCAATCTTGGTGATAAGCATTAAAATCACCTTTAAAAATAATGCTAGATTTCTTATCATTCTCTTGAGTGGAAATGTGCAAAGTCAATAAACAATCTAAATGCTCTCATTGGAATTGGAACTTATATAAAGACAAAATGTAGAAATTATTAAAATGCCTACACACTCTCAGCCATTTATTCATGACATCTTAGATGTCTAGCACATTTATCTTGCTATTTAACCGTTAACCATTGTTCATGACATCTGCATTCATACTTCATAAAATTAATAGCATTAAATCCAACCCTAGAATATAAACAAAAACTTAGGGATGAGACAAAGAATTCCCATGTATCAATAAGAGTTTATTAAACTTAGATAAAAGTAACTCTGAGGTGTGCCTCATGAAACCAGAGTTTCAGCACAAGAAATAGTGTCAAATTTGGTTGAGATAATTACAAGTTCATTCATATCCCTTCGAAGTTAACAAATATTACTAAAAAGTAAGTTGCACTATTTTGGTTAGGTTAGGGCCAGGATTAAACTCAACATCACCAAACAACAAAATAGTAAATACACATAACAACAAGAAGACCATAAATTTGAGAAAGAACTCATTTATCAAAACCCCAGAGATTCTTAGTGCCCCCAGACCACTGAATGCCTGTTGGGAACCTGGGGCCATGGGTAAATTGGTGTTCATGATTGTAAAAAGATATGGAGAAAGTGTATATATATATATATATATATATATATATATATATATATATATATATATATATATATATATATATATATATATATATATATATATATATATATATATATATATATATATATATATATATATATATATATATATATATATATATATATATATATATATATATATATATATATATATA